TCGTGTGATGTAATATTTTAATTCCTAATTTTACTTTGTTGACATTAAAACGCGTTTTGAATTATTGAATGGTTTATATACATTACTTTTTCTCTACAATTATATTCGCTATAGTTGTATGAGTGTGGTGGCTTATTTTATGCATTCGAAAAAGGGGAAATAAGCTGACAGGGTATAAATCATCGTAGAGTCTGATAAGGGATAGAAATATACCGTTATACTCTATGTGAATCTCTAATTGTTTACAAAACGTTATGCGTTCTTGTATATTGCATTTGTTATAGAAATGTAGTCAAATAATATGCGAGAATATGTTCAATTTTACTCGAACGAGATTATTGAATAGGTTAGAAACGTTGATTTTTCATCAATTCAAACATGTTGTCTCTTTTGTAGAACTAGAATTAAAATGGATAAATGGATCATTGCATAGGGATTCGCGAACCTAGTGCGCTTCATTTCTATGAGTTGCTTCAATTAGCATTTAATAATATAATTTGTATTTAGTTCAACTAATTCATCAATTATTGCTTTCATTTAGTTTAGCTACAAATTAATTACAAAACTCAATCATATTTCATGTTTCGGTTAAGGTCAGAATATGTAAAATCGAACTAGTAAATCTATGTGAGAACGATATTTGAATTCTAAAATTCATTTTATTATTTGAACAATCCATATACTTGCGGTAGTTTTTTATTCGAAACATATTTTCGATGAACATTAGTGAATGAGAATTTGGAAGTGTGAGTGTGATTCCTCCATGGTAGTGTTGAAAATTAACTCTGGAGAAGTTCTTGACTTCGGCTTCATTTGTTGCATATATCATCCTACTTCTTGATTCAGTTGGGTCTTTCCACTTCATTTCTTCATCGAAAAATGAAGCAGTCCACACTTTGACATCTTTGTTATTAGTACAAGTCGTTATAGGTTATGAGTTAATAGTTGTAACAAAGTGTCTTTGTTCAAAAACAAAAAGTGTATTATACTAAACATTCAAGTCCTATTGCCATTATATCCCAAATGGAATTCTCTGGCTTCTTTCTATCTAGACTAGAAAGTTCCATTCGGCAAAAAGGTTTTTAACTTTAGCACATGTTTGATCAATATTAAAATTCTCATTTTCATTCTTATACTCATTTTCAACAACACATTTTTCAATAAAATAATATTTTTCATCACATCAATAATTTTTCCTTCTTTTTCAACCACACATTCTCCACCAATATACTATTCCAAAATATATTTTTCTAAAATAATGTGGCTCAAACTGTCTGGAATCATTTAGAAACAACCTCAATTTTACATTTAAGCCAAAGGTTTTCCAAGTCTCAATCTCCATGTCTGTCGCATAAATATGAAAACAATAGTAAAAATATATAAAATCGCAAGTTGCTTCTCTCAACATAATACTTTTTAAAATAAAATATTCAAATCTTAATATGATATCACAAACGCAAAGGTAAACAAACAATTTGTTTCATTCATGTAGTAGAATTTTCTTTACCATGTAAAATGGTAACACCTGTTGTAACTAGAATGAAGAAAATGAACCTTTTCTCACAATAAATAAATAATGTTGTACTTTACTATGGCAGCAAAATGGCAATATGCGAATTATTATATATGTACAATTTAATTTGATAATATTGATTGATAATTTAAATTTGGCAACATCACATTTATCCATTTCAAAAAGTTTTTTTAAAATTAATTATCCAAAATTTGACAACATCAACACTGTTTATTATTATTGTCAAGTATGATTGTACAAGTAACATAATTGTCTAAAGTTGCTGCTTGGTTAATCCAATTCCAATGCCACTCATCAACCATTTTTAAATGAGATAATTATTTAACATGGTATCAAAACTTTTAAGTAGAATATGAGACGAGATCAATGTACTAAAGATTAAATTTAAATAAAAAATGTGTCTTCTCTATTTTGTTTTGATTAAAAGCGTGTATGTATAATTTTTTTAATCTAATCTGCCTGAGATCTATCTTATTGTTGACTC